TTCGTAAACGCGCTTCGTAAACGCGCTTCGTAAACGCGCTTCGTAAAAACGCGCTTCGTAAAAACGCGCTTCGTAAAAACGCTGCTTCTTAAACCACAGCCTAATGACTTCTTTAATCTAACCTGTATTTTTAAAATAAATCTTAATTCGACCCTTCGTTTCAGTGGCGCCGCTGTCTGCACTCTCATTGGTTGAAGGCTACAGATCAGAACCGGTTCTCACAGGAAGTGGTCAGTTTGTTTTCAAAGTAAAGGTTCTGTGTGTGGTTGGTTCTCTGCTTCTGTAAACATGGTTCTGGTTCAGACGGTTCTTCACGGGTCCGATCCACCATGTTTGTGGAGCTCCAGACCCGGCATCCTGCAGGTCCGACCCGGGTTGGATTCAGCTGAAGGCTTTGTTTACATGGAGTGCAGACCCTCATTCATGACTGACTCGTGGTCTATAATCAGTGAAACTGAGATAACTTCTTTAAGGAGCTGAAGAGGAAGCAGACGAGTTTACATCTTCAAAGAGATCCTAAAAAGTTTCAACAGATGTTCTCCAACAATCAGAGAAACTGATGAAGATCAAAGAGTTTCAGACGGAAACAGCCCCGATGGTGTGAGAGGCTGCAGGACGACGCACAGGAAGCTGTCCAGGACTGAATACACAACACACACACACACAACCTGCAGAACAGAGCCCGATCAATACCTGTATCAGACAGTGATCAGAACCTTCCCACAGGTGATTGATTGATTGATTGATTGATTGATTGATTGATTGATTGATTGGTGCTGACAGGAAAACAAACTGACTCACAGTCTCTGGATCTGATGAGGTCTTATCCCAGGAGACTCCTGCGTGTGTGTGTGTGTGTGTGTGTGTGTGTGTGTGTGTGTGCGTGCGTGCGTGCGTTTTATCAGCTGTTCTTGAAGGTAAACAAAAGAAAGACAAAAAAACCCGACAGAGACAAAAAGAAGGTGAATAAGTTTTGTTTCCATGGCGACGAGGAGACGACAAAGAGCAGGAATGTAAAAAACTGGAAACATGGAGGAGGAGGAGGGAAGAGACAACGAGCAGGAGGAGGAGAGGAAACTAATAAAAAACAGGAACATAGGAGGAAAGATGAAAGAGAAGAGACAGAGAGGAGAAAACAGAACAGAGTGGAGCTGCAGGAGGAGAAAATATGCTGTTAAAGATGGGAGGAGCCAAAATAAAGGTGTGACGTGACACGAAAGGAGAGGAGGACCGAAGGAGAAAAAAGGAGACGCAGAAAAGCTTCATGTTTCAAAACTGGAATGAAAAGAATAAAAGGAGGTGAAGCAGAGGTTGAAGTGGAGGTCTGTGTGACGGAGAGGGCGGAGGAGGCCATCCATGCCTTGATGCCATTGAGACATTTTACCAGAGGGTTAATGGAGCGAGAACTGACAGTCGTCAGCATAGCAGTGAGACAAAGGACCAGGTTTCCTAAGGATAGACCCCAAAGGGAGCAGACACAGTGAAAACAGAAGGGTTCCAAGAATCGAGCCCTGCGGAACCCCGCAGGAAAGAAGCACTGAAGCAGATGCACTATTACTAACATTAACACAAAAACTCCTGTCACTCAGGAATGAGCTGAACCATTCTAACGCTGCACCCACGTCCCAGCCCAGTGTTCCAGCTGCGATATATAAGGACACGGTGGTCCAGTGTCAAAGGCAGCGGTCAGGTCCAGGAGTACCAGGACCACAGACTGAGCAGAGTCATTCACTAGAAGAACGTCGTTACAGACCCTCACTGTCTCGGTGCTGTGGTGGTTTTAAACCAGACTGTAAGATCTCAAAAACTCCATTCTGATTCAAAAACTCGTTTAATTGAGTGAATTCTCTAAGATTTGAGAAAGAAAGGGAAGTTTTGAGGAGAGGGAGGAGGAGGCTGAGCTCAGAGGAGGAGGAGTGAAGAAAGGGAGGAGGAGCAGGAATGAAAGGAGCTGTTGGAGTTCAGACACGGCTGTAAGAACAAAGTTCTCTGGTGACAGCATTTAACTTTGTCTTTTCTCTTCTGATTGGCTGTCCTCAGGAGGTGTGGGCGGAGCTAAAACATGGCGGGCGCGTCAGTGAAGGTGGCGGTCCGAGTCCGACCGTTCAACTCCAGAGAACTGAGCCGGAACGCCAAGTGTGTGATCCAGATGCAGGGAACCAGCACCTGTAAGACCGGAGAACGTGTCTTTGATCTTGACCGTAAACATTTAAATAAACTAAAACTCTGTGACGCTCTCTGACGTTACCGAGGCGCCGGACAGGAAGCTGTGACCCACTTGAAGCAGCTGCTCCTGGTTCCATGAAGTCCTGCTGCCAACAGAACCTGGAGGAGCCGCTGCACATCTGGACACGACTGGTTCTGTAATGAATTGTTTTCTGTTTCCAGGCATCACCAATCCAAAACAGAACAGAGATGGAGCCAAGAACTTCACCTTCGACTACTCCTACTGGTCCCACACCACGGTGACCACGCACACGTGCACACACACGTGCACACACACACAGTTGATCTTTTTAATACCCCAGAGTGATCATTAACACGTGTCTCTCTGTGTGTGTGTCTCTGTGTGTGTGTCTCTGTGTGTGTGTCTCTGTGTGTGTGTCTCTGTGTGTGTGTCTCTGTGTGTCTCTGTGTGTCTCTGTGTGTGTGTCTCTGTGTGTGTTTCTGTGTGTGTGTCTCTGTGTGT